AAAGAACAGTTAGACCAATATTGTAATGGATAATGTAGTCCTTGGATGTTGTTATACAGTATCTTAGATTTCACAAAATTTTTCCATGCTTGATTTCCCCTTCTCTTTTGAAAGCTTGTAATGAAATGGAACCAACGCAGGTTATACACTGAATTAAAACACAAGTGCTTTGAGATTAGGTGGATTTATGCCCTAATTTATTGATTTAGGAGTAGGATGAACTGAAAAGAACATGAAGAGAAGCACTATTGAGACTTTTTATTTCTAGCGTCTTTTCTGTTTCTTGCCATACGGCGTGCACTCATGCTCCTGGGTGCTGGGCGGTGGGGAGAAAGTGAGAAAGCACTCATCTGGGAGGATGGCCACACCATAATCCTTTCTCCTCCATCACTCCATTCTCCTCTCAGGATTTTGGGCATGCGCACACACGCACTGAATGTTTTTCAAGCCACCAGGTCCAGGATTTAAGCCATGCAGCCAGGAGGTATTCAGCTGCCTTGACCATCAAGCCATCTGCTGACCCATTTCTAGTTTCTTAATGAATTGAGTAATTTATTTTGTATCGACTGTATTGGTTTAGTCCCAGGCTACTGTGTCAGTTTTGAGGAACAGATTCTTAGCCACCAGGAGGCAGGAACCTTTTTTGTTTGTTTGTTTTTTGGGGGGTTTTTTTAAGAAAAAGAAAAGAAAAAGAAAAGGAAGAAAAGAAAGAAAGAAAGAAAGAAAGAAAGAAAGAAAGAAAGAAAGAAAGAAAGAAAGAAAGAAAGAAAGAAAGAAAGAAAAGGAAAAAATGCCAGAGGGTGTACGCATTCCCCAGAGAGATAAAAAAAGTTTTTTTTTTTTTTTGGAGAAGTTTTTTTCCATAGGGCGCATGCACTCGCCAGAAAGACAGAGGGAGACAGAGAGACAGAAAGCGAGAAATCACCACCCTAGAAGGGATGGCCATGCCGCAATCCCTTCTCCTCCATTCTCCTCTCGGGATCTTGAGCATGCACGCACACGTGCCCATTTTGAGTTTAAGCCACCAGGTCCGAGACTCAAACCACAGTCGACTACATGGGAGTCCAGCAACATAGCCATTACTCCAACTGTTGGTCCTTCCCAGACTGATACAAAAAAAGAGAGACAAAGTGAGAAAGCACCCCCTACCCCGTGGGGGTTGGTCACACTGCAATCTCTCCTCCTTCATCTCTCCCTCCTTCGGGGATTTTGCGTTTGTACAGGCATATGTGCCCAACACGTTTTACAAGCCACTGATCTAAGACTCAGACCAAGCAGTTGACCATGTGAGCTCCAGCCACCTTGACCACCATGCCACTGGCTGGCCCAGGAGAAGCCTAAACTTATAGGCATCTACGAAAATTCTCAGGGCATCACGCAGGTCCTGGGTCACAGAGGATTCTACCTTCTCTTTGTTCCCATGCTCTCTCCCATGAAGGATGAAGTAAACCATTCTTCCACTGTGTCCACCCAATCCATTATAGTTTTTAGCCAAACACTCCCCCCTGCTCCTTAGAAGAGCTCTGTAGTCAAATAGACCATGTTCAAACCCTGGCTCTCCCACTTTCTGTGTGACTTCAGAAAATTTCTTAACCTCTTTAAACCTATGTATCTTCACCTGTTAAATGGGAGTGAAGATAGTACCTGCCCACTAAAGTGGTTTTATAGATTAAGTGAGCTAATGCACAGTAAAGTACTTTTCACCTTCATAGTACTTATCCTTTTTTTAAAGTTTTTTTTTTTTTTTTTTTGCCATAGAGGGTGTGCACTCAATAAAGACAAATAAGAGGGTAAGTGAGAAATCATCCCCCAGGGGGGATGGCCATGCAATAATCCTTCCTCCATTCTCCTCCTGGGAACTTGGGCACGCACACGCATCCAGGATGATTTTCAAGCCGCCGTGTCCAGGACTAGAACCACTATTGGCCATGTGGTAGTCCAGTGCCTTAACCACCACACCACCTGCTGGCCCAGTGCTTACCCGTAAGTACTAGTTTGTCAGGGATGGAGACCCTGCCCTCAGAGCTCCAGCCCCTACCGTGGGGAACATAAAATACAATAAGAGATAAGACATGCAAATACAGTAAAAGTGTACTAGCACTAAAATCATAATGCTGTGAGCAACACAGAACTTCAGAAAAGAGAGAGATTTACATGGGAGTGGCCTAGGAAGATTTTGTCAAAGAAAAACATATCATAGAATTTAAAAATTAGATAGGATTTGAGTAGGTAAGAGAAACAGGGCAGTATTTCTATCGGATCGTCGGGAAAGTCATGATACATTTTTTTTTTTTTTGGAGAGATTTTCACTGTAGGGCGCGTGCGCTCGCCAGACAGACAGAGAGAGACATAGAGACAGAAAGCGAGAAATCACCCCCCAGGGGGGATGGTCACACCGCAGTCCCTTCTCCTCCATTCTCCTCTCGGGATCTTGGGCGCGCACGCACACGCGCCCGGCGTGAGATTTAAGCCACCAGGTCCGGGACACGACCCGCGGTCGACTACGTGGGAGTCCAGCGACATAGCCATTACGCTAACTGCTGGTTCCCGATACATTTTTGCATAGAAAACTATGTCATAGCTTTTCCAAAGACCCAATAGTTGAAAGGAGAACAGAAATATATGAAAAACAAAGGAGGATCTGGATGAAAGGCCATGAGTAGACCATGTGGTACATAACAGGGATAATTATGCACCTCAGTGGGATTTGACTAAAAAAGCCAGATCAAGCGAGACTGGCACAGTTGTCAGAGGAGCGGGAAGGCAGACATTTAAGGAATAGGAAAGCACTGGAAAGCAGATGAGTAACGTGATAATAAAAAGCAGGAAGGGTTATAGAGGGAAAGGAAGGGAACTGAGAGACTAGACAGCAGGCTATCACAGATAGAGGCTGCAGTGCTCTCTGTTGGAGGTGGGGCAGAATTGCAGGCATCAACTGGTCCCCATGGCCAAGGCGCAGGAGACCCGTCAGCCAGCAAAAGGGGAAAATAGAATTAGATCACCTGGTGGGAACCAGTAGGCTGTGAAATGGCTACATCACTGGATTTCCACGTAGTTGACCGTGATTTGAGTCTTGGACTCAGAGGCTTGGAGCTCACGCCAGGCACGTCTGCATGTGTGCCCAAAATCACAAGAGGAGAATGGAGGAGAAGGGATTGTGGCAAGGCCATTCTCCCTGGAGGGGGTGATTTCTCACTTTCTGTCTCTCTGTCTCTCTCTGTGTCTCCAGCGAGCACACACGCCCTATAACAAAAATCTCTAAAAAATAATAGTAATAATAAAAAGGTCACATGATGTTGGAGTAGGAGGATTTGTATTCGTGACTTTAGGGTGTTGGTTTTACTGTAGAAATAATTATAATTATGCAAAAAAGCAAAGAATCCAAGAAAGAATTGCCAGAGGAGGAATTAAAAATATGCTATATGAAAGCACCCACCTTGATCCTGAAAGAAAACAAAGCAACGGCAACAAGGACAGTTAAGCAATCTTGAGCATAGAGAACCAGCACACAACTCCCTGACGTCAATGTGAACAGAGCTGAGCTCAACCACATAAAACATTTTATATACAGTAAGAAAGCTCTCAATTGGGGCCAGCAGTTGGCATAATGGCTATGTTGCTGGACTCCCTTGTAGTCAATCATGGTTCGAGTCCCAGGCCCGGTGGCTTAAACTCACGCTGGGCGCGTGTGTGTGCGTGCCTAAGATCTCGAGAGGAGAATGGAGGAAAAGGGATTGCAGCATGGCCATCCCCCCTGGGGGGTGATTTCTCGCTTTCTGTCTCTCTCTCTTTCTGGTGAGCGCATGCACCCTATAGCAAAAAAAAAAAAAAAAAACTCTCCTAAAAAAGAAAAAAGAAAGTTCTCAATCAAGTAAATAAAGTATGTGTAAGTTGTAGTCTTCTTTTCACACTTATATGAAAATTTGCCAATCCATTCAGACCTCGTTTCTGTGCCAGGCATTCATCTATGTTACATTTGATAGGCCTGTTATACTTAAAATACCACAGTATTGATAGGCAGTGTCATTTAGAATTATAAAACTAATGTTTAATGTACTTGAAAGAAAAGTTTCCTTTTTTATTAAAACTTTCTTTTTTAAAAAAAGAATCAAATGTAAGATAACAATGAGTAAAACTGATTAGGAGCAGTGGGAAAAAAAAAGACAAGAGGAACTTTATGAAAGATGAACTATCGGTATTTAAGGACAAATTGGGTAAAGAAAAAGAAGAAATAAAGTCTCTAGGTTTCAAGATAAATGAGAGATCTTCAAAAAGTTCATAGAAAATGCATATTATGACAAAATTATGTGTGGATTTCAAATTTTTTGTACCGAAATAAGCTCATATCTTTGATTTCATTTGTCTATGAACTTTCTGAAGTCCTTTCATATTACAGCTTATGATACAATATCATAATGTGACAGAAGCACAATTCTCCTTAAATTGACATACCTTTGCTTATATGACCTAAACTTTTTTTATCTTTTTTTAAGAATTGTTTAATTTTACTTATTATTTAGAGAGAGAAAGCCTCCAGGTCCAGGACTCAAACTACAGTCAGCCATCTAGGAGTCTAGTGCCTTAACAACCACACCACCTGCTGGCCCCCAAGCCTAAACTTTTATTATTTTAAGCTTCATGAAATGAATCAAAACCCTATTTTACCCATTTCGTAACTTTGAAGCTTAACTTCAAGTTGACTTTATTCATTTAGCAAATGTTTCTTGGAGACCCTACTATATCAGATACTGTGTTAGGCACTGGAATTAAACAAAAGCATTGAAATGCCCCCTTTGGGCTTTTTCAGTCTTTGGTACTTGGAGGTTAGGAGGAAACAGAAGAGGAGACAGCAGAGGTATACATTGTATTATAGAATCTGCTCTGAAGTGAACGTAGGCACGTCATTGCTGAGGTACCTTGGAGAGTGCTCTAACACCCACTGGAGGAGATGCCTTGAGACTCACATCGTCTTTCCTGTCAGTAGGTTCAATATGCTCTCTATGGAAGGAATAAACAAAACTGCCAAGATACAATTCTTCTTCCGTCCATTCTCACCTAACCCTGAGGTTCAGATAATGATTTTTGTGGCCTTCCTGGTGATGTATCTGACTAGCCTCAGTGGAAATACCACAATTGCAGTCATTGTCCAGCTCAACCACTCCCTCCACACCCCTATGTACTTTTTTCTGGCTAACTTGGCAGTTCTGGAAATCTTCTATACCTCTTCCATCGCCCCACTGGCCTTGGCAAACCTTCTTTCAATGGGCAAGACTCCCGTTTCCATCACTGGATGTGGCACTCAAATGTTTTTCTTCGTCTTCTTGGGTGGGGCTGATTGTGTCCTGCTTGCAGTCATGGCTTATGACCGGTTTGTCGCCATCTGCTACCCCCTGAGATACACCCTCATCATGAGCTGGTCCTTCTGTGTGGAGCTAATGGTAGGGTCCCTGGTGCTGGGGTTCCTGCTGTCACTGCCGCTAACCATCTTGATCTTTCATCTCCCATTCTGCCACAACAATGAGATCTACCACTTCTACTGTGACATGCCTGCAGTCATGCGCCTGGCTTGTGCAGACACACACGTTCACAAGACTGCCTTGTATATCATCAGCTTCATCGTCCTCAGCATCCCCCTTTCCCTGATCTCCATCTCTTATGTCTTCATCGTGGTAGCCATCTTACAGATCCAGTCTGCAGAAGGACGCCACCGCGCCTTCTCCACCTGCTCCTCTCACATCGTCGTGGTCCTCCTGCAATATGGCTGCACCAGCTTCATTTACTTATCCCCCAGTTCCAGCTACTCTCCTGAGATGGGCCGAATGGTGTCTGTGGTCTACACTTTTATCACCCCCATTTTAAACCCCTTGATCTATAGCATGAGGAACAAGGAACTGAAATCTGCCCTGTGGAAGGCACTGAGGAAGTTCTAAGTGGGACGATCTTATCATGTATTTAAATCTGGACACTGTGGAGAGTGAAATAGGATGCTGCTAATAATTATGCTGGGGTCCCAGCTGCAATGGCACAAGCAGGAGACTGCCACTAAGCAGTGGCTGAGGTCACATGAGAGGCTGTATTCAGTCCCCAGCTCAACCTATACATGGGCAAAGCATGGTGGTTCGAGCCTGTGATCCGAGTTAACAGGGAGGCTGGAGCAGGAGCAGCGTGGCAATGCCAAGACTCAAAAATACCACCACCACCCCACACACAAACACACAAAAATAACAATAATAACAATTATACTGGGATGACATTGATAAAGAATGCCCTCAGGAGACCCAGATATGTGGCCCATTTTTCTTGGAACTCCAGAGGAAATAAATACTATCGTCTTATTGAAAATAAAACTGAATCAAGTAGGGCAATATACTGACCTGGGCATGAATGAAGAAAAGAAAATCAACATTTATTGGACAGTTACTACATATCAGGCACTTTATATAGATTATCTCACTTAACCCACAGTTCCTTTCACAAGAAAGGAAACTAAACAAAGATACATACCCAAAATGAGAACAAATCATTTAGAAATATAAATTTTAGGAGACCCACTGGTAGTGTGGTGGTTAGGGTGCTGGACTCCCAAATGGCTGACTATGGTTTGAGTCCCAAACCTGGTGGCTTGCTTTCTCACTTTCCCTCTCTCTCTATATATATATATATCTCTGTCTCTCTCTGGTCAAAATAATAGTAATAATAATAATAAATAAATAATTATTTAAAAGAAAAAAAAATATATATATATAAATTCTAGGCTCTTGAGGCCAACAGGTGGCATGGTGGTTAAGGCACTGACTCACATGGCCAACCGTGGACCTGCCACCTTGCTTTCTCACTACCTGCATCCTCGTGTGTCTCTTTCTCTCTGGTGAGCCCTTGTGCCATATAGCAAAAATTTTAATAATAATAATAATAGATCAAATTAATTTTTTTAAAAAAAAAAAAGTAGGTTTTCTTCATATAATGCCACTCTCCTGATTCTGGCTTGCTCTACCAGTAGGCATATATATAAACCTCGGGCCAGACTCTTTCTAGGCTTAAGTTTCCTTATTTCTAAAGTGGTACAGCTGAACTTAAAGATTCCAAGGGGGCCTTCCAATGTTATAGTTATGTTCTAAATATTGACCAATAAAGGGGACCTGCAGCTAGCATAATGTCTATGTCACTGGACTCCCATGTAGTCGTCTCCAGTTTGAGTCCCAGACCTAGTGGCTTAAAAGCACGCCAGGCGCGTGTGCGTGCATGCCCAAGATTCTGAGAGGAGAATGGAGGAGAAGGGATTGCAGCGTGGCCATCCCCCCTGGGGGTAATTTCTCGCTTTCTATCTCTCTGTCTCTCTCTGCCTTTCTAGCGAGCACACATGCCCTATAGCAAAAACCTCTCCAAAAACAACAACAACAAAAAGCATTGACCAACAAGGTCCTAGAATGGCAAAAACAAAAACAAAACAAAACAAAAAAAATTTGCAGGTAGCAGAAGGAAAGAGAACTTTCTTATCTTTGTTTACATTTTTTTGTTGATATTGTTAACAAAAATTAAAACTCTTGACAGTGTTCACTTTTTTTTTAGGCTTTTGCCATAGGGCATGTACACTTGCTGGAAAGAGACAGAGATAGTGAGAGGAAAAGTGTGAAATCACCCACCAGAGGGGATAAGCACGCCATAATTCCCTCTCCTCCATTCTCCTTCTGGGATTTGGGGCACACATGTGAGTACATGTACCCAGCATTGAGTTTTAAGCCACCAGATCCAGGACTCATACTGCAGTCCGCCCTGTCCACTACATCACTTGCTGGCCCCTAGTGTTCATAATTTTTTCGAGAGATTTTTGCTACAGGGCATATGCACTCACTAGAGAGACAGAAAACACAAAATCACATCCTCGGGTGGATGGCCACACCACAGTCCCTTCTCCTCCATTTGCCTCTCAGGATTTGGGGCACACACATACACACACATCCCCAGTGTGAAGTTTCAAGCCGCCAGTTCCAGGCTCACACAATGGTCAACCATGTGGGAGTCCAGCAATGTAACCACTGCTGGTCCCAGTTCATAATGTTTAAAGAGCACCCCAATAATAAAAAAAGGATGATAATAATGGAGGAAAATGTTATTTAATTTAGTATAGGAGTAGGAGAAAATGGGGGAGCTGGAATTTTACATTCTTCCAGAATCTCTTCTATAGCATCTCAAACAGAAATGAAGATTCTACTTGAGCTTTCAAGGAGAAGATCATGAACTCATTAGATACTTCATTTCTTATTGTACAATTCAAGTTATTAAAGTACTATACCTTATCTTGAGTTAACATCTATCATTTTTGCTTGTTTGTTTGCTATAGGGCACATGTGCTTGAGAGAGACAGAGAGAAAATGAGAAATCACCCCTGGGGGTGGGGGGGAATTGCTGCACCCCAAACCCTTCTCCTCCATTCTCTTCTCAGAATTTTGGGTATGCATGCACACATACCTTGTGTGCTTTTCAAGCCACTGGCTCTGGGACTTAAACCATGCAGTTGTGGGATCCAGTTACCTTAACCTCCATGCCACCTGCTGGCCCCACATCTATCTACAAACAACTTTCTCCCACTGGTTCTGTTTTACCCTCAAAAGATTTCTTTTAGGGAACCAGCAGTTAGTGTAATGGCTATATCGCTGGACTCCCACATAGTCAACTGCAGTTCACGTCCCAGACCCGGTGGCTTAAAACTCACACCGGGCTCATGTGCGTGCATGCCCAAGATCCCGAGAGGAGAATGGAAGAGAAGGGATTGTGGTGTGACCATCCCCCCTGGGGGGTGATTTCTTGCTTTCTGTCTCTATGTCTCTGTCTGTCTGGCGAGCACACGCGCCCTATAGCAAAAACCTCTCCAAAAAAAAAAAAAAGATTTCTTTTATATTAAACCTCTTCAAATTTGTAAAAACAAAGTTTGTAACTTCTTTAAGCCTATTTTCTCTAGCCAATCCTTTCCCCTGGAGGTTATATTTGAACCCTCTCATTATACCATTTCACCAGGTTTTTGTTTGTTTGTTTGTTTATCTTAACTCTATACCTACCTATTTAAAATTTCGTCCAGAAATAACCACAGCACACTGGAATATTTTGTTCTGAAAAACTGTTACTTTTCATGACCTATAAACTATATTTTCCTTAAATTTTTAACATCATTTTAGACCCATAAATTCGGTATCCAATAAAACCTTTATTACTTTTTATAAAACTTTTGATTCTTCCTGACTGTAATTTATTTTAGTAGCATAAATTTAAGAATTTTCATTGAACATTGATAAATAAGTTTACTGGTGATACAAACTACAGGCTTTATTTTATTCATCATAGTTTTATGTTGTGGTCAAAAGTGCAATTGTATTTTATTGCCATTGTCCATGTTGTTGACAAAAATGTAAAATAAGACAAAATGAAGGCAGTTTGTGGTAGGCCTCTTCTTTACGAATTGTTCCACTAGATAGAAATTTGCTCAATAATACCATCTGTGAGAGGGTGCAATAATTATGGCCTCTCCTGAATCCCATCTCCCTATCTCCATGTCTCTGTTAGCGTTCTCCCACTTGGCTCTAGGAAAGCCTATATGATTTGCTTCGGCCCATGGAATATTAGCAAGTGTACTGCAGGCATTTACAATTATACTTTGGGGCCTATCTTCTCTTACTGCACTGAGACCTCCATATGAAAAGGCTCAGGCTAAGATGACACTCTGTGAAGCAGAGAGAAGCCATCCAAGTTGAGACTCCCTAGACCAGCCACCCCAGTCAATCTGCCAACTGACTTTAGTCACATTAGTAACTTCAGGAAAACCAGTAGAGCTCAGCTGTGGAGGGCACTGCATACAGAAGCCATCTTGAGCTATCCACCATCTTGGAAACCATTAGGTTTCACTTACTCATTGAGCAAGCCGGTTCTCAGAAATCATGTGACCAACCGTTCTCCCCAGGGGCGGTTTGGTTTCTAGGCAACGGGAGAGATCCACCCACATCAATGATTGGCTCATACTGTTCTATCTCATTTGCATTTCGGGCAACCGATTGGTGCCCTCCATCCTGTGTATAAGCTCACAATTCTTCCTTAATAAACGAGACTTGATCAGCACCTCCTCTTGTCTCCACTCTGTGTGTCTGTGTGTTTGTCCCATCTCTCACTCCCTCCCTCAGGAAATCTGTTCGACTGTCCTGCTGATCGGGACACGTGGTGCCCGGAAAAAGGACCTGAGTACGAAGGATCCAGTGAAGAGCACCCGAGGGAGGCCGGCGAGAAAAAACATAGAAGGACGAAGAGAAGACGTCCTGGTAAGTAGTTACTTACATTTCATTTTAAGTACGGGTAATAATGGGACAAGAGCTTAGTCAGCATGAACTATTCGTTCAGGACTTAAAAGAAGCCCTTGCCACTATGGTCGCTAAGGGAGAGCAGATCATGCAAAATGATCAACCCCAGGAGGAGGCTATAGCCGCCTCAGATCTAACCAAGGATTCTAAAATTGAAAAAGAACAGGGAGAGGATCTTATTTCCCTAGAAAATGAGGGAGAAGTTAAAAGCCCCGAAGGCGAGACAAAACCCAAACAATCCAAAAAACTAAGAAAGGAAAACAACCTTAAGGCTCTCCAAGAGCCAAAGAAAAAACTATACCCCTCCCTTACAAAATTTAAAAACTACTCAGACGAGTCATCAACTAGTTCAGAGGAGGAAATCCTAGAGGCCGAGGCTGACAAATAAAATAACCTCGAATGGTCGCCTTTCAAAAAACGGCCACCGCCCTATAGCACTATCGCCTCAGCACCGCCTCTTATTGACGCAAAACAAAAAATAATTAATGAAATAAAACAATTAAAAGAACAAATTCAATTAGAAAAAGAGCACCGGAAACTAATATCACAATTAGAGAAACTAAAAACCAATACAGACAAAGAAACAAAACTAGTTCAAGGATCACATATGACAGACTTTGAGACATTCCCTTTTACGGAAACTG